CTGGCCATCGTCCTATTTAGCTTAAACAAATGATACGTGATTTGACATGCTTTACCACGCGTTCACACTCGCACATCACGTCCGGTTCAGTCTTGATCCTGTATCCATTAAGTTGTATGTAACTCATTCAGCTGTATGTTATCCAGCCACTGAGTTCAGGGAGTTCAGTATCCTTGCTTTACTGTTCTGCTATCTAGGACGGATATTTAACCATGGTTGATGAAAGCTGATAGTACTGTTTCAGAAGCCGACATAACCACAGATATATCAAGTACCTACGTCATTCACCTTGCGTGAAAACTCCAGTGCGTTAACCTACTTTATTTTCAAAACATGCGGGGGTACACCGAAATATAGAGTACATTCTTTACGAAGAGCAACGCTTGACTTACAGCTTAACAATTTGTCGTCTTCCCTCCAACTTCAAACTTCTCGATAAGTTGTGTTACATCACTTTTACTACTTGTTTTTTGAGCCGAAGCCCCACCGCTGATCGGGGTTCATTCGCTGTAATTGAACTTCATTCGGACTGAGGATAACAAGTACTTTCCTCTTGATGAAGCGATGAACACGGATCAATATCAGCACAAAGATCCTCACACCAGACAGATCTTAACCTTAAACACAGATTCTCTACACATTTTAGTTCCAGTAGAAATGAATCGCATGCAACACCATGAAGATCTAAGAAACGGATTATAAGTGGAAGTATTTGACAAATTGGGAATAGTTTCAATCACTTATGGAGCTGGTAATGCGTACTCACAAGAAGCAAACCAGGTACCATATCCTGGTGGTGTTATGTACTCGGTGAGTGGTGATTCACACATAGACAAGGTAGCGCGAACTAGAGTTAAACGGTTGCCGGTGACTCAGCTTTCGTGAAACAAGAATAGTGTTTTCGGTAAGCGGAAGCCTGAAGCTTAATTTTCTCCGATATATAGAGGGGTAGCTGGAATCACTCCGCAAGTACGCGAGATTGATCCCATTGCAACTTTTCCGATAATTTCCATGGTTCACTCTTCGAACAGGTTGGAACCGAAGTGTGCATGTTTGTGCAAACAACCGATTGACCCTTAAATTTTTATCTATCTGCTGAAGTTCACAGTTGCTCTGTGGACAACCGGTCATCATTTGAAGAAGAGATATCTTCGGATAAAGCACATTTGCGAATTGAATTTGCATCACGGGGTGATTCATCTGAATCCCAGCTGAATTTCTCGTTTATATAACGCCTTACTTCAAAAGAAGGACTCCTTCTCTCTAGTTCTCTTTGAGGAACCAAACAGACGCACATTACCACGCACTAGTTTTGTGTTACAAAGCCTTCAAGTGTGGATTGTGCAGCTCAGAGAATGCTCCCGAGCTGGCCACGTTTCAACGGACCGTTAAGCAGCTCTAATCACACGATTGCGGTCACAGGATACTTATTATGTCCGAATCAGAAAGAATTTATCTCATTCCCTCCAGTTAGCACTTTTGACTAATGTTGTTCCCGCCAGGTTTTTCTGATGGCTTCCAATGCTGAGTGCTATAGGGGAACATGCGTAAACCACACCAGATAACGTGGTTTCCCACAGGTTTATGCAAACATACCTATCACCCAAACAGTTAAATTACGTTAGGTTGGACACGTCCGTTGACCTCAATGGAAAACTAACCGAGGTCATGCGGATGCTAATGAATATGGGTCCCTAAGGACACAACACTGGACTGGTGTTTATAGCCATCCTGTTTTGAAATCGATGGAACACCTAACTAGATCGCTGATAGTTCTTTATTAGGACTGACTACCAGTCCCTAAGGACACAACGCTGGACTGGTGTTTATAGCCATCCTGTTGTGAAATCGATGGAACACCTAACTAGATAGCTGATAGTTCTTTATTAGGACTGACTACCCGGAAAAACAAATTCGAGAACATCAAAGATGTATTCTGTGAGGGAGCTGCAAACTGCTGTGGAGACTGCCTAGGAATTTGCTCGAAGTTCAACGTGGTCATATTTTCCATCAACAGGATTCAAAGATATGCAGAAATAACACTTTCGTAGGCGTGAAAATCCCGACAGATATGATAGCTTTTTCTGACTTTGGTCTTCACAGAGTTAACTGGTATATGCGGGCTAACAGTGGATGATGCTAGTGACTCAACTATTTTCGTGTGTATTTAGATCAAAGTATTTCATATGTGTAAAAGCGGTACTGAAGCGAAAGGAACAAACACCTGGATTAATTGGGTTTTAACAGATGAATATTGATACACATGTTACACGAGATATTTTGTTTAGTCAGACAACTGACTATCACAACAAAGGGTGGTAAGATTTCAAGCCACAAAATTGATGCGACCCAACCCGTTTGACAGCTAGACTCACGTTGGTCGTCTCCAAGTCTGAGTCCAGCCCTTAAACTATTGCGTCTTAGAGGCCCGGTTTATAAAGACAAAAAGCAGTCAGACTCATTGCACCGTAATTGGAGACCCAGCGCAGTTGGAGCCGAATAGCACGAGTTAATAATATACCAGTGTGATGCAATAATTTTACGAACGCATAGAAGCTAATTTCAAGGCTGTAATTTGAATTAACCAATGGGGATTAGGGTGAAACCTGATCTTGCACAAAAATGATGTGCGATGCTTTGAGGCCATAGGCCGATAAGTATTAGATAAGAGGACATGAGCCTTTCTGGTTAGCTTCCCAGAACGGTTCACCTAGACTAGATTCCGGTCCCAAAGTGGTATATTTACGAACAGATAGTACGAAAAAGTGCATTTCATTCAGTTGACCTTGTCCAAAAATCGTTCATATATTCGGTTTTCTTTCCGGTGTTGAGATCAACCAAAGGAATAACAAAATAAAGTCAACACGACGAATTCCAAATATAAGAATGCTAGGTAGGTTGCAGTTCCGTAAAGACCAATCAACGGAATGTAGAAATGGATTAAAAATGACCATTAAAATGGCGTGAGAGTCACTGATAGAATTAAACAAATTGGCTGAATTTTATTCAAGTGTGTTCAAAAAGAACTCATATGATTTCAAATATCAAATGGACTTTTATAGGTTTGGTCGCCACACGTACGTGCAGCGAAAGACTTCCCAGAGATTCATTTTCCTAAATCCGCCCTGATTATGTTTCACTTCACATAGACTGCTTTACAGGGGAGTAAAAAGGAGAATGCAAAAACACAGACGACAGTTTTGACCAGAAGACACTTGCATGAGGGCACCGTCTGATAGTTTTTTTCAATAACTAGAATTTTAAGTTGTTCAACAAAAAGGAGCCACACACCAAACTCAGTGCGATGCAAATGCTGCGGGCCCATTTTCTCAAGTGCATTAATTACGTGTTCATTGGGATAACTATTAAAATTGGGAAGCCACTTTCGGGATGAGAGAAAATTTATCTCAAAGTTGTCAGTCTTTCGGTAACTGACAGAGGTGTATTGCCTCTTTTGTTTTAATTTTTTGTCCCCCTTCAATCTCTTCTGGGTGGGGCTTCACTAACTATTGAGTGAAAGATGACCTATCAGAATCGCACATCCAATTGAGGCTACAGTTTTCACAGTCTTCGATCGTCAGATCACCTGTGCTCTTGTAACGCGTTTGCCAAAAGCACTAACATAAACACTCAGTGATTCGCAACAAATACTCACTTGAATCCACCTGGTTGTGTCGTTTATAATGGTCCGCTTCAAATAGGACATAAGATTGACTGAAACTGGGGAAATGCGCCTCAAGTGGGGCAAACCCGGTGGTTGAATGCTGAACAGTCCTCATCAACCTAATCAGTAGCGTTTTGCGTCTGGAAAACCACCTGACACTCTTTAATAGTCGGTTTTTGTAGAGTGTTATCAGGGTAGCTTGGATATGTGGTGTGGATAGGCATATTTATCTAGCTCGCCCTTATGGAATACAGAGAGACGTGCTTACGTCACAGCTCAATTCACCAAAGGTGAATTTCCGGTTCTAGCAACGAATAAATATCATGGGTTGTGTATACTGACAGAGCATCCTACCAATTTCCTATCCCTAAAAAATCTCTCCCGGACTATGTATTGTTCACAAGCAATTTGCATTTCCGGTGCTTCGCAATCCCCCTCAACTCTGACCACCTATTTTGTATGCAGTGGCTCAATGCAGTGGAGTTTGCGGAAGCAGCAGAAGTACTTTTCGTCTGAACGTTCGGTTCCATGGTGAAACAAGTGCATAGTCACTTTTTTTCATTGTTTACACGAAATCAAGCCTGATTCTGCATCTAGTAGGTAGAAAACACCGTAATTAACTTTGAATCAGCTCAAGAGCTCTAAAAATTATTTTGTGGGAGAAGAGAAGTTAAAAATTAAGAGTGAAATGACCATAAGTTCGTCTAACTTCTCTGGAGTGTAGACATCATGACACAAGTCTGATGAACTGTCATATTCGAGTGAACTTTGATAGGTCATCAGTTCCTTAGAGTAAACAAGGTGTGAAGTAACCGGACTGGTATAGCAGCCGTCTAAACCCACTCCCGCATGTGTGTTTATTTGTCTTCATTCACGTCTGTCGCCTGTCCCACACCAGCAGTCAGTAAATGACCTTGTCCAATATGTACTACCGTATGTCACTCTGCTTGTCTACGTGATGCATGCTGCGTCAAGATTCTTCACTTACTCATGAACGTTGCTGCCGTCTGGGCCCACTTTTGTCTCTCTCTCTCTCTCTCTCTCCGTTGTCTAATAAGTTAGACATTTGGTAACACAATAGTCATCCAGCTTTATATACAGGCAAAAAATTGTGATGTTAAAAGCAAGTTAACTCTGTTTAAAACCCACAAACCCCTCAATCCCAAGATCTAAAAAGGCACAAATAAAGGCAGACTCAAACACTAGGCTCTTGAGCTCATAGGCCACGACTACGTGCAACTATGTGGAACTAACAAGCCTCGGATATGTGGAGGTCTTATCTCGCTTAATAATCAACGGGCTGAGTAACTGCGAATTCTTTGACTACTGCACTCACCGTGGACTATGATGTTTGGGCCGTAACTCGCCACCTGCATTCCAGGTGATAGATAATCCGATCACATTTGACTTCATGGGTCTTTCATGTTTTGGATGGCTAAATTTTACAGTCGGTGACGATTGAAAACCATTTTGTCCATTGAAACTAACGACGGTTGCCTTTATTTGGGATTGAGTGGTCATCCTCATAATTAGAACAGCGAACTATCGGAACTGCATTCCAACTGCATTTTGTTCATTGAAACTATAGACGGTTGCCTTTATTTGGGATTGAGCGGTCGTCCTCATAATTAGAACAGCGAACTATCGGACAATCGAGGATGACACGGGTGAAAGTAGTGGCCAGCAGCTACACCTGTTTAATAAACACTGATGAAAAGGATTGGAAACGTGGTCTGCTGTTGCGATAGTTAAGAAAGTTGGACGAAGAGGACAGGCTCCTGGGCATTTGTCCAATCTGGCTTTTGCAGGCTCCGTTAGCGTACATAAGTGTGCGTTCTGAAAAGTCCCACAGTAATTCCAAAGGATTGCGCGACTTCACCTAGTACCTGCACTGAGACATTTATTTGCACAGTCTGGAGTTCTTTAATGCTTGGTCCCTGAAAATGTAGGTTGGTTTGCCTCCACAGAAATTTCGTCTTTCTGTAATACCAAGAAAAACATCCACGGTGTAGTCCACGTGAAGAAATGACCAAATGAAAGGTGCCCTGATTACTTTCAGACTGGGCAAGAAAAATATGTGGGCAGGTTCACGTCGGAAGCTTCGGACATTACAGAACTGAGACATTTTAGGTATACAAGGCCACCATTGATCGATTATGTAACTGAAATTGTCGAGAGTCACATGCGCAAGGGTGATTCTGAAAGGCTGGCGGAGAAATGCGGCACTCACTGAGCGCTGCAGCCCAATCAATTCGCTTTTTAGCTGCTCGACTACTGTTCAGAGTCACGACTGGTTCACGTCTTAGTTCCTCTGTCTGGTATCTGCTGTACGCACATCTGTATCGCTGTCCACCGGTACTTCCTTGCTTGTGTTTTCTCCGTGCAGTTTTGCTCAGTGATGCACCCTTATTTGGAATCATCAACAGTGAACATTCTGAGAAACCCCATTGAGTTTCGAACCCGCAACCTCGCGGCCAAGAGCGGATGACTAACATTTTGACTGATTCTTCCGGATTAACTTAACTGCTTCTTCTGGATTTCACTGAATGTTAGGCTCATTGCAGCAGTATCCTCAAGCATGACCTGTTGATTATCTGCCGCATACGGAGTACAGTAAATATCTATCCAAACCGCCTGAAACACTTGTAACTTGAGAAACTGTGATACAGTTCATGTACAAAAATAGCAGAATTTCGTGCAGTTCAGCGCTAAGTCTAGATGTGATCTTCATCCAAATAAGTATGGCATATGTTTGCACATTTTCAACAGCGTTAACGATACATAGGAAGTCCCATTGTTGTCTCCCAGGCGAAGGATAGTAAGTGGTGCAACACGTGCATCATAGAAAAACCATTGTGTTTTTGTGATGCACTAACCTTAATGCCTCAAGGCCAAACATTCCATACTATTCGGCGCTCCTTCACAAGCCGCAGAAATTTAATAAGGTTGTCATCTTAAAGTTCATAGATGTGTTCTATAGTTTTGACAGGTGCCAAAAAGCCAGACAGCTGCACATTTATTGCGCGCATCCTGTCATTCGAGATTTGATGTGTTACATAGATTTTGACAAGCTTTTGTGAACATCAGGTAACTTGTAATAGGTTACCGAGATTGAATGCATTTAGCTCACGTCAGAGAATATTTCAGATCAGGAAAGAGTTTACACCACCTATTTTTCCCTTACGTCTACCAACTCGAATCACGCATGGCATCTGTTTCGGCATCTATAGTAACTTACTACCTCGAATGCATCGTCGTGATCGAACGATAGGTTGCATTTACCCCCCTCCAATGCAATGCTCTTTGTTCTCCAAATGAGGGAAATCGCCAATACCCCCCACTAAGCTGTACATTGCTTATTCAACGAACGTCTCTGAAGGGTTAATCGAGTAGCGAAACCAATTTGTTCCCTCCTTAGAATGAAGCAACGCCCGCTAATTTATCCAGTATTACAGTAAATAATGAGGGAACCAATGCCCCCCACTAAGCTGTACATTGCTTATTCAACGAACGTCTCTGAAGGGTTAATCGAGTAGCGAAACCAATTTGTTTGTTCCTTAGAATGAAGCAACGCCCGCTAATTTATCCAGTATTACAGTAAATGGCAAAAGCATCAGTGTGCACTGCCCTAAACCGATGATCGACATCATCCTCAAGGACAGTAATAATAAACAGGATGTAAATACTGTCGTGACATTATCTAATTCGGACAGGTATCTGAAGCCAGACTTTCCACTTCGGTTCAGTGTTTAGACATTTCACTTTGTGTATTTATTTGTGCAATAACATATATGAAGTTAGGCAGCATGACGGCAGTGTTATGTTGGAAATGTCCCACCAGCCGTCGTTCTGATCGTCTTACTGAATTCGAACTACTATTCGAACCGCGGAAATGGCAACAAGTGATATTACTAGTTACTATTATGTTATGTTATTACTCTCGCGTCAAAAGACTGCGATAATACACTCGTAGCGCTGAGTATGCACGAGTAGCTAGTCCTGAGAACTGTAAAACTTGCTGTTTAGCAACGCACTCAATAGGAACACCTGATCAATAGCCTTGTCGGGACCCTAACTGAAATACCGACTTTGAAAGCGTCCTTCAATTTTTCACTAAGCTGAAGCTGTTTTCGCTTGGTATAGAAATATCAGAGGAGGGCGTACAAACCGTAACCGGTCTACTCCCAAAACGTTTCTTCCATGAAATGGACAAACACGGTCTACTCAAAAACTTCCGGGAAGAGTCAGCAGGGAGGCATTTAAGGGACACCTTGTTTATTTGTGCTAGAAAATCACCTCAGCCAGTTCTACAATTTAAGTTGCAAGGTTTCTCATCACAATTAGAAATGAAACAAACATGCTGTTGTAGCTGAGCTTCTTGGACCTGCCAAACGATGACCAATAGAAGAGATGTTGCTGTTAATTTACAGAGTTTAGAAATCTTTCTTAAGAGTGAAGCAAGCGAAAGTCTCCTATACGATGTCAGGCAACACTGGCCGAATCTTAGCGGGTCCCTCGTTCTGGAGAATTACACAGAGCAAGTTTTGCAAAAGATAGGCTACCTTAAAAGCAAGGCCATAGAGTTCACTGCGGTAATGTCCTTTCTTCTTGGGGGACTCCCACAACTTGGTCGTTTAGTCTCGCTCTCAAAAAAGCTCCTTAGTGCTAAGGTCGTCAAAACAGATTTAGCTAGCATACACGTGCCATTTTGCTGCTAAAAACCCATTTTTTTGGTCAGTCTGTCGGGCAATGAGCACTTCTCCTGTATTTTTTTTACGGCACGCGACTGTCGATTTAATCAATTATTTGAGTTCCAAGGGAAGATAAAGTGCATTTTCGTCTCTTGGCAAATCAGCATATCATATGACTGTCTCAAGTAGAATACGAATGGGCGCGTTATTTGATAGATTTGTTTCCGAGTATTATAGAGACCAGACATGTGATGAGTGATGTCCAATAAACTGGAGGATGAGACTTAGTTATCACCACTTCTGGACATTGTTTCATCTGCAGGTGACCAAAGAGTATGCACTCCCGTACTGGTGCAAGCCACAGGTGTATACATTATCAATTTAACAATGCTTTCTTTGCGACCGTGTTAGAGAAACCTTTTTGAAAATGGTTGATATTGACATCAGCGATCCTTGTGGAAAAGGTGAATTTCAAGAGGTTTAGTGCACTATAGAGCATCCTCTTTTTCCCCTCTCATTTTTTGATGCTTCCTTACGTTATCGAAATGTTGGGGAGGTTTTATTTAGAGGCCGTTGATCTTAAATAATGTAAGTGCTTAAACAAACTGCAAGTGACTGCATCCCTAGATAGATCATTTGAAAAAACCGAGTAAAACGAAATGGTCCTTGGACTTGATCTTCTCCGGAATCGGTCTTTTTTGGTGCGGAATTTCTGTTGATTATATTACTGATTCGAGACAAACGAGTGCTGATTTGAGTAATGTTTATTTGAAGCATTTCCATCAAACACCATTGTGTCCTTCCTTGTTTCTTCAGATTTTTCTCCAAATTAAGCCTAAGGGTAGTCGTTTTTCAGCATCTTTCCAATCGATTAGATTTTGTAACACTCTAACAATTTTTTGATTAACACGTTTCCCCTCTTAGTATATCAACAAACACAGCGCGAAAATTTTTTATTGTTATCCTGACCAGCCCCTGCTAAACTGGGTGGACGTGACATTAGTATCTAAATCAAACATCCATCCCTCCGAACGCTATTCAAACGTGTAGGACATTCTTCGTTTTCCGGACTTTTCAATAATCCTTAGAGCACACAAGGCGATCAGTATTCGCACAATGGAACAGAATTTTTGAAAGCTATGACGTGTCTCTGATGGACTAAAGCAATCGGGCAATTGAGTTCAGAGTATTATTCCAATCTTTCGTACCCTGTTTGGGCATCTCGGAGTCTCAGTGATGCGGGGAAACTATTCCATGAGACGTTTCTGCCAGAGGTATGATTGCTTCAGTGGCAGACGTTTCTGCCAGAGATATGATTGCTTCAGTGGAAAATAAAATTTGGTGAGCTGCAAAAATGTGAAGGTAGATTAGAATTGTTTTTAGTTTGGGCGCATACACAATAGAATGCAACATTTGGCGCAGAGAGTTTTACTCCGTTCTCAAAGGTTTTGCAGCTAAAAGCATTGCGCGGTTAATGGAGACCGGCGCAGAATCGGCTGTGGGAATCTGTGATTTATGAAAACACTTCTTGATAAGGAATGTTTTTCATCAGCTAGCTGCATTTATAAAACTATTGTGGGAGTTGCTGAATGGAGCTGGCAAAGCAAGCTGTTCCATTACGCCAGCAATCACCATGGAGGCGTCATTTTCCATCGTCCAAGAAACCTGATAACCAGCAGTTCAATAGTGTCCACCGACTGCCCACAGTATGGATAACAAGCTGAAATTTCTACTCGTGATGAATATGTATTTCCGAATCCTCTCCCTGTACTTCAGGCAAGTCACAGCGACGGACTACACTTCATGGAAGTCTAAATCCTCAGAATGATTTCTCGCCAAGAACCACCTGTTCCGCCATAAAGCGGCAAATACTGTGGTTGACGCGTACTAAACAAAACTTCAACCCAACGATGAGATGCGTGGGTTTTTGTACAAATGACATTCTCAGCGTTACTTGACGAGCGTTTGAGTAGGAATAGGAAGTGAACGTTCTAATGATTACCCATGATTGATGCTGGCTTACCGCTAATGTTGGGTCTCAAATGGTCACATCCCATTGTATCAGGCTGGCCTCACCAGGATAAGGATGATAGAATTCCTAGACCATCTTATGGAGATGAATTGAAGCTTGCGAAGAAAGTGACAGATCGCCGATTGAAAACGTTTACTTATAAGAGCCAGTGATATTACATTGGATAGAAATGTCTAACCCTTAGTTCGTTGTCTGGGATTATGTCCTAAAGTTTAGGAAGACAGTTCTCAGGTCGACAAGTCTTCTATTTTGCTTACTGGCCCCACTCACTTACCTAAACCCGTTTCCGACATCGTTTTCGAAATTTCTTTGCAATCACTGGATCTACAAGAACAAGGCATTCTGTTGCAGCGCGAAATATTCGTTAAGATTAACCGGAATGGTCGATTAACCGGGATGTATTACACAGCTGTCTCCTCTACGCGGGTGTGACTCACTCTGACTTTTCTGGTATTTGAACTCGTTTATCGCTATTCACGTCTAACCAATGTCCTGAACTTGAGAGAGTCATCAGGTTCAGCGTCGGTTGAAATCTCGCAGACTAGTCTTTATTGGATCTTATGAAAAGCGGTTATTCGGAATTTGTTGAAAGGTGTATTTGCGAGGGCGTTAGATGCAGGCACATTCTGAATGGGCTCATCACGTGTGACGAGCTACCTCGCATTCTTTAACTTAATTCTTCGCGGAAAAAATGAGTGAAGTGACGGAGACGCAAGCATATAGAATAAGTGTTGGTCGATTACAAAATTGTAAGTTGAGAATCCATTTACTGTGGATGGTCCCAGTTGCAGCTTTGAAAAATTATGTGGGATATCTCTGATGTACATGTCAGGCATGAGCCAGTACAAACGACCAGGTGCGCTACCTCCAGAGCGCAAGCTGATCAACTCAGTTTTTCCTGATTAAAACTCCACTTATAAGCAGAACAGTTCACATTGTATTTCATCAGCCACGTTCACACAACTTTCAAATTATCAATTTACTAATGAGTGACCTTTTTCGCCGTTTGTAGGTCGAGTCATCTTATCCGTGAGGCAATTGAAAATAATGAATTCCTACGGCATTTGGACGAATCACAAGTAGAGGAGATTGTCAAGTGCATGTACAAAAAGCATATTGCTCAAGGAGCCTACGTAATTCGAGAAGGCCAGACGGGTGATGCGTTATATGTCGTCGCAGGTGAGTTGTCCGTGCTTCGCGTGAACAGTTTCATTTAAACATCGATTCCCGAATACAATAGAATGTTTACAATCAGGAAATCTAGGCAAAGTGCACTGGAAAAGAGTGGCCATGACTGAGCGTCATTCAACGTTACTTTAAAAATATTCAAGGTTTCTCTCGTGACAACTAAGAGTTTCCTATTCCTCGGAGGGTACAGCGGGAACTATTGAATGAAGGCAATCTGTGTGAATGACATCGTTTCCACCCACGTCCAAACAACCTGAGGCAAACAGCCCTTGTTCATTATGTGGGTAGCATAACAGCTAAACACTGAGGTATTATGAAATGATTTGTTTTCAATCGGGCAGAATTACCACTCCCTCAATGACGGAAATCGCAAATTTGATTGACTGAAGTTAATACGCAAGTTTCCACTAGAAAGAAAAACGGACAAGGGACTTGAAGTGCTGCGGATTTCTCAGCTGTAACATTTTCCCAATAAAATATGCTTCACACGTGACCCTTTGTGTTTTTATTGGATTTAGTATCACATTGCTCGACACGGCTGTACTTGTGTACTCCTATGAGCCTCATAACTAATATCGTGCCAAGAAAGACAGCTCTTGGCATAAACTTAAGTCCGCTTTATTGACAATGAAATACAATTTTAGGAGTTTGAGTTTGCGCGTTCAACAAAGCGATGGACGGACTTCCAAAGAGAAACCAGCTGTCCTGGACAGCTTGCAGCTCACAGCCTGCTAATCCTAGAACTAAAACGTTACAAAGAAGTATATCTCTGCTAGTAAAAGTGCACTTGCAGTTATTCACAAACCTTGCGCCTTAGTGGAGATAGAAGTTATAAAGATGAGAACAGAGCAAGAAGCTTCATTGCACATGAAATGAGATAGGACTCGAAGGTTGTAAGTTAAACGTCGAACCGCCAAAGTCTCCACCAAAATGGATCAACGCCTTTGACGTGATTGAAATGTGCAGCGTTTCTTCTGCCCACATTTCTGTTTGTGAGCGTTTCATCTAGAGCAGCATTGACGTACGAATTATGTCACTGCTCTATTATCTCGTGTGAGAATGAGTCCTTCAACGCAGATGTTTATGTGGTTAAGAAGCATGCGACTTCCAAGTCTTTCCGAGGGACATCTGGGATACAAATTCCCGTTTTGCAGGTGAAAAGGAACGGCCAAGGCTGATGTTCACTGCCCTTCAACACAGATGTTTTTGTGGTTAAGAAGCATGCGACTTCCAAGTTTTTCCGAGGGACATCTGAGATACAAATTCCCGTTTTGCAGGTGCAAAGGAACGGCCAAGGCTGATGTTCACTGACCTCAGAGCTTCAGAAACGTATCGCAAAAACAGGGCAAACTGATTTTAAAATGTAAGCACATCTGTCCTATGCGTGAGGTGAGAAAAACTATCGGACCGTGTTCCAGATAATGGTTGAGCTTCTGGAACCAATAAAAGTATCAGGAGGGCGCAGAAAACACTGGCCACTCCTGAGGTGGTTCAGAGGCCACTGGGTATATTTAAATCCACACGTTGGTCAGCGCACTATTTATGGAAGTATGCTGTTCTGTAAACGTTATGAGTGACATGTTCCCACTGACACACAAAATGAATGAAAATAGAACGATGATGTCATCAGCTTAACGTTGAATTCATTTAGCATATAGAGAAAACCGTTTACAAGGACCGGATATGATGGATGCATGTCTAACCTTTACTGAGGGCTATTCAAAGCCTGGGAAAATTCGAAAGGATCATTCCGCCATTCTGAATTTGTCGATAATCTTGACTGTTTCGTTCTATGACCAGTAACTCATTCCGGTTGAAGGATATTGCACTGTGCAGCTCAACAGCAACTGAGCTGACTTCATGAATGCATTAGCACCCATCTAATTATATGTGAAGTGGCTGATCGGAATGCGTCGGGCTATCAGATTCCTAATGTCAAATTTCACTGGATTTGTTCAACCTTTCGGTGGAATTCTTTTTTCTTTTTTGCAAACAATTTCCGTTTAATGGGCATTCGCAAATGCCTAGTCAGAGGCTTGCGTCCCGTCAAGCTTCCTGTCACATTCGCAAAGAGGCTTGCGTCCCGTCAAGCTTCCTGTCAAGACGACCTACAGAATACGAAGTTTGTTTTGATCACATGTGTATCGGTGTTTCTTTACTGTTCCATAACAGGTATTTGTTTGACATGTGTTCAGAAAATTAGCCCGCGGGAGATTCCGATGAAATACCAAAGGATATGATGTCAGGTTGGTATATGAGATGCACATCAAAATGTCTGGACTGGTTAAAATACTCAACATGCTCTATACTGCACTCTAAATTAAACATGCCATAAGAATAAGAGGTTTTCGTAGAAAAATTGGGTTACAGTAACAAAATGGCACCGAGGCACGCAGAGTATGGGAATAGACATGTATACTAGAAGGACTTTCACTCCCAAAGGCCTTTGATTGTGCCAACGAGTTTGTATTCATTGGCATTTGTATCAGCTGGTTGTTTGAATGGATAATCTGCAGTAAAGCAAACGTATGATCTAACGGCAAACTAGTAGAACTCGTGAAAACAGTTGTTTTAACTATTCGCGAATTGAATCAGAATTTTTTAGTCAAATTAAACTAATGTCGAGGCAGGAATGTGCACTGAGTGAATATCAAGAAACAAGAAAGATTGCTGGGGCTTGTACAATTCACTAGTCCAGCACTAGTTAAAAATAAGGGGAAAATGTTTGAGTAATCCAACAACGATCATCATTTAAAAGCACAGAGGCAAGATTGCTGGAACAGCTACGCTCGAAAATTAGTGGGATAGTGCAGGAAACGAGTTACGTAGGAAACATGAGAACATAGAATTTAGCTTAGAAATGAAACGTTCCCACAGATCTCAGCTGGATAGTTTGCGAGAACCAGCGACAACCAGATTCAGATGGAATTTGTATTAGCTATCAGTATTAGCTATCGGTTATCAAATTCACTATTGTATCGTTCTGTGGTATGAACTTATATTGTAGACTGTAGACTTCGATCACCGGTGTATTAGTCACTGCTATGATTTATTTTCAATAAGTCATTCACGGGGATATAGTTTTCATTTATACTTTGATCTGGGGAAGGAGATTAGAAGAAAACGAGCCTCATATTTTATCAGATTTTGTGATGGATAGGGATCCGCGAGAATGGAATTATCCAGACAAAATATATCTTACGTTCGGTGTTCTTGCAGTGGGACACAAGAAAGCCCTTTGTTCAATGTTTTCGTCGAATGCCACATTGAACTGTCTAGTTCATCTAATCGTCGTGTACCAGGGTACTCTACACAGCCGAGTGCCACCGTTGTGGATAGTAAATTAGTGGTTACTCAGTCTTGGTCTCCCATATTCAGCAGGCAAAGACGTCCATAATCGAAGTGCGTCGAATGCCGCGGCAGAGGTTCTCGTAGCAGTAGTGTACTGGACCCGCAAGAGTCGAATAAACGGCTAGCCGACAGTTGCGTTTCATTATTACCACGATAGCGGCTCTATTCTTGGCATACTTGCGTGGCTTGAAACTTGGAAATTGTTGTCG